TAGTCCTGCGGGGTCTAGTATTCGTGCCTTGCCTATTCCTATGAGGACTAGGCTTGCTCCCACGGTCTTGCCTCTCCCTGCATGTGCGCACGTGACTGTACCCTTCGCCCGCGTGACCCTCTCACGCACATCCTCGCCACCTGCGCGGGTGTCGCGCACGCCCGTTCGCTCGGCATCGCCCCCGTGCTCACCCAGCGCCCCGCGCTTGTCGCCTAGCGCCCCGTGCTCCTGCTCGATCGCGCGTTGTGCCGCGCCAATGGTTGCTCGGTCATTCGCCCTCTCGCGGTCGTGCCATGTGCGTGCTGTCCACCCAACATCCACCCCTCGCGCACCACTCATTTCCCCTGCAATGTAAACACCCAGGGCCTTAGCCTCCAAGCGTCGTGCGCGTCGCTCCCTCGCACACGCCTTGCACTAGTCGACCGCGTCGCCTGAGCCCGCTATCGTACACTCGGCCCAGGACCACTGCGCATAGTGTAACACCCCACTTTGATTTTAAAGAAATTCCGGACTTTCTAAAAATCATAACAAATTTTTCGAATTCATTTTCGAAATCAAGGGCATTAACCAACACAATTTACTTAGTCCAAGTCTTATCTGGACTCACGGGGATTCATAAACCCGATTTTGCACAAGGTTTTCATTAACCTGATTCACACTTCAACATAATATCCCATATGAACAATTGAAACTTCCTAAATCAAACACCATGATTATTCAAGGTTTCAAAAGGGTTTTCCAAAATATTTTCAAACATCAAAACATAGTTCAAAAATAGTTTTCACATGTCCAAAACATAGAAAGGTTCATAACGACTATATTATTAAAGCGGAAGCAAAATAAAACAAATAATAGACCACCACTCGTCCTTCGTCCCGTCACTCAGCCACTGCTTAACCTGCATCCGTGAAGAGCAGGTGGGAATGAGCACAAATGATAAAGTAGTGCTCACTACTATGCACATAATAACATGTAAAGATGGTATGGTTGCAGCATGAATATAAATCAATCATCATCATGTCTCATCTCCTAACAATCATAACAATAACTCACTCATGTGCACATCTATCATTAGCCGCGGAAAGGGGATGCATAAACCCTAACGACGGGAGTGCGTGCCACTGTAATGGACACGGCCTTTCATTAGGTCTTAAGGAGACTTGCCTCGCAAGGGCAACCGTACCATAACTCGACGGGGACAACCGTACTGTCGGCCGTAACAACTCACATCGGTAGGCCACATGGTTCACATTCATACATTGGCCATACCAACTAAACAGTAAACAACACGTATAAGTAAACCCACCTGGAAATTCCGGTAGAAAATGGCACACAAAAGCAAGTACGTAGGATGAGGCTCGACTCCTCAAACACCTACATTTAAGCGAGATAATATATCAATAATCTATCTCACTACTCAAATTTAACATAAAAGCCATACTTAATAAAAATTAAGACTTAAGGGTTTTAATCAGATTTTTCGTGGACTTGGAACTCTCTCATTTTTGAAAAATGGGACTGGAGAATTAAAATTAGAGTCTCGGTATAAAATTTTCTCATTTGAAAATAATTTTTTAAATTGAAATCGGTACGAAAAAACGGCTTCTAGGACTCAAAATTGGGCTAAAAAAATTGAATTGGGAAGCTGAAATTTTAGTCCCACAATTGGGCCTGAACATGCGAAATGGGCCGCAGCTAAGGAGGGTTAATGGCCCAAGACTTGGCCTGCTAAGGGGTGCGGGCCTTTCGGCTGTTCGCGAGCTGCTGCTGGGGAGAGATCACGGGCTGCGCGGGCTGGAGTCGGGCCGAACACAGCCCGCGCGCTGCTGCTACTAACAGGGTAGAAAAATAGAAAAAGGAGTTGCGGGCGGCAAGGATCGAACCCGCGACCTCCCTCAACCAACTGTGCGCAGACACCACTAGACTACAGGCGTTGCTTGTTTATTAATTTGAAAAGTTTTGTGAATGAATTTTTAAAAACAAACTGTGACAACCTGCAGAAACAGAGTTTTGCTGGACAGTGAAATTCGACCAAAATTCGACAACATCAATTCCAACAGCAACCGGGTTTTGACTAATAATTAAATGAACGAACGTAATAATATACAGCGTTTCGAAATATTTTTAAAAGAAACAGGTTTTGACTAAAAAACGAAACGACTAGAATAACGGTTCCAACGAAACAAAAATACGAATAATAAAACGACAAGGCTCGAACATTTAACAAGACACCCAAATACGCATACGCAAAAAACAATTTCGGTCTCAAAACACCGAGAGTTCCAAACAAATCCACGGCAATTCATGAGAAATGAAAATAATACGAATAAACTGAAAATAATCAGAAAGCTGAAAAAAAAAAACTCGATTCGACGAACCACGATAAATCCAACAACCATATACGGGTTCGAAATAATGAGGAGGCTTGACGATTACCTCGCTTCTGGAACTTACGAGCTCGGTTGGAAATGGACGAATCAAAACGAAACTCGAACGGGACCTCGAAAACTTCTCGTAATGGCACAGCACGCGAACGACAACTGGTCACGAACGGCCTGCTTTGGCCCTTCAACTGCTGCTCCTAGACACACGATGAATGAACAGGTCGGGACTGAGACTCGGGCACGAACAGGACGGCCGGTGGAGTTGGAGGCTGCCGGAATTAATGGTGGTTGCCGGCAGCACGCGAATGAGGTTACGGGGTCCTTCTGACTGACTGGGGCTGCTCAATAACTCGGATGGACGTCGATTTCAGGCTCGCGTGGAGTTCGGAATTTCAAACGGTAGCCGAAGGTGTTCACCGTAATCAATGGCGAATGGAGTTTTGCTGCTGTAGGTTCGGTGAGGGAGAAAGGTTACAGAGGATGGGTTTGAAACAAATCTGATATGAGATGAGAATTTCGAACTGAAACTTAAGTAGGCGAGAGAGAGAGATAAGATGAGGGAACGCGCGCGATCAAGGAGGAGATCTTCACCAAAAAATCGCGACAGACTTTCAAAATGAATGACTCGGTCGCAGGGAGATAATATATCTGATCGAGCTTAAGAAAAAACAACAATGGGCCAGGCCTAAATAATTTATAGGTGTAATGGGCCAAATTAAAAAAACTCAAAGGGTTGGAATTACTAAGAGAATTGGGCCTGAAATAAATTCAAATTGAGCCAGAACCAATTTAATCGGGCTGAAAGGAATACAACGCGATAACAAGAGTTTTCCAATCGATTCAATTGACGACGAAAAAAAAATTAACGGAAATACATATATATTTATATAATACACACAATAATATTTATAATAATAATAAGCATTTAAAACAATTAGACATTTAATCACAAATAAATAACAAC